CATGTTTTGGTTCGACCGCTGGTCTGCGTCATGCCTTTAGCTATGGTGGTGTGCGTCATGCTCTTGACTACGCGTCTGCGCGCTGCCCTGCTCTTGACTACGCGAGTTGACTACGCGTCTGCGCGCTGCTCTGCTCTTGACTACGCGAGTTGACTACGCGTCTGCGCGCTGCTCTGCCCTTGACTACGGGAGTCGACTATGCGTCTGCGCGTTGCTCTGTCGCGTTGACTACGCCTCTGCGCGCTTCTCCGTCGCCGCCCTCTTGTTTCTTGAAAATCGCCGACCGCGCTGCCCCCTCTTGACGTGTCCGCGTCGTTTTACTGCTACCCTTTGACTTGCACTTCGGCGTCTTACTGCCCCTCTCTTGCCCATGGCTAAGCGGCATAAGCCCGCCGCGTCGCTCCTCGCGCGGCGACTCAGTCGCGCCGTTTGAATCGCCCGCGGCGGTGTAATGCGCCATCTTCGATTCCCCTAGCGGCGGCATAAGCGCACGATGCGCGCTGCTCACCGCCGAACGCAGGCGGGGGCTTCTGCCGCGCCGCCTCGGCGCGACGCGCGCGACGCCGACGACCGCCCGCGCGACGGGCGGCGCGCGCGCGCGACTTCTGGCGCTCGCCGCCCGCCCACTGCGGATTGCAATGGGGGCGTCTTGATGGCCGCGGCCGCGGTCGCGTAAACGCCATGTAGGCGTTTCCAGATAACCAGTTCAGTGCATTGCGTACTGGCGTGGCCACCAAGTATACATAGAGGATTCACCCAATGGCCCATGGCCATTGCCCGCGCGCGGGTTTTGCCCGATCATAACGCCAAACCTCCCTGGCGCAAGGCAGATGCTTAGCCATTGGCTCGCATGGGGAGGCCGCGGGCAAACCTAGCTCTTTCCGCGCGTAGCCTTGCATCAGAAAGCACGCAGGCGTTAAAATGGACTTCTCGTCGGCGACTAGATGCATGTGATGGGCGGCGTTCCGGACGCATTTGAACTCCTCGGTCACTTCGCAATGTGCAGAACGTTCCCTAGACATTACTTAGGCTAGGTTGGGACTCGGCGCGCGCGGCATCCGTCGCGCGAGCGCGGCATAGAGGCTGCCCATGCATTTGCTTGACATTGCTGCGCCATCGCCTCGACATCGCATCGGAGTTGCGAACGCATGTCCGTGCAGCTGTCCAGGCGCAGCCGCGTCCGTAGGTCGCCATCAGTAGATGCCCCGTAAACATGCCTACGCGTTTCACTAGCGTGGCGTAGCCCTTTGCATCGCTGGTTAGATATTTAGACGCCATGGAGGGTGCGAGCCATGCGTGTCGATGGCCCTGCTAGCATTGCCAATTCGTTACTTATTTTGAATTCGGCAGCGCCGCGTGCAAACACTCGTACAGCAGCCGTCAGTACCTTTTGAAACACTTGTATCAGAAGCATTGCGGTGTTACGATCTTGAACGGGGATTGCCCCAAGGCCCCTCTCCAAGAGCGTGAGCGTGCCGAGCAGAAAGATCGTGAGCTCTTGAAGCAGGCCCGCCACCGAGGCAGAACTTATCTTTTGGCCGGCGACCGGCTTCGGAGCTAAGCAGATAGTGCGCTATTTAGCGCCTTTTCTTTCCTGTCCAACTTGCGGCTTTCATTTCCTCGGGGCAAAAAAAATCGGCAGCGCCCTTGGGCCACCTAGACACTATTGAGGCACTCTGGAAGTGGCCATGCATTCCGCAGGAGTGGTCCAATCGCGACCCAGTCGCAACTTACAGGCGCAATGGAAGTGCCACGTACAACCCCACTTCATTTACACGGCACCAATGCTTCACCCATCCATTTCCGAAGACATGATGTTTACCGAACATAAACCATATCAAAACAGTTCTGGAACGTAGCGCAGACTGCGCCGAGGAGTTCCCGACGCATCCCATAGGCACACTAGATATCCAGTACGTTTGCATTCAAGCCGCATTAGCACTCCAGTACGCAGGCGCGCCATGCGGACTTCTTATGTATACAGCGCACATGGCCAGATCATGTCATGCGCGCGCCTGGTCATGGTGCACTTATTACACACCACGCGCAGGGCAAGTCCTTGGACGCTACTCAGACAAGGCATGCACATCGCTCAAGCACTCATCTTACATTACTAAGACTACCTAGGTGCAGGCGAGTCACTATTTCCACGATGGCGCTTAGACATATTCACGTCAACCCGTCTGCTACACAATTATAAGCGAAACACCATCTATACATAACGTGCACACAAGAGAGAGATGCCGCACTCACTACTTACACGACGTATACATGGTCGAGGCCCAAGGACATTTCCCGGCGACGATGTCCGCGGGCACATTCGATCGACACGCCTAGAGACCCACGATGGGGTCGGTGGGTTTCCGCTTACAAGACGGAGGGTACTTCCGTTGGGGCTTCTTGGGTTTATCTTAAAATTTGTCCCCTCTCATCAGCCCTTCGTTTCCGGCCCTGATCACGCGCCCATCCGACCGTTGCCGCATGCCCCGCCCTCGCCCTCCGCCTCCTCCTTGTCTTCCCCGCCTCCCACCGCCGCTTGCTCATCCTGCTTCTCTCCGACCCCCGTCGCCTTCCCACCTGGTTTCCCTTCCCCCGCGTCTCGCCGCCCCTCCTTCCGTCACCCTCGACCTGTAGTTTCGGATGCGCCGATGAGGCGGGGGCCCTTTCGCGCCGCGGGCTGCAGCCCGCTTGGGCCCATGGGGGGCGGGGGCAGGGGGCGCGGGAAAGCGAATTGGTGAGCCTGGGGGGGGGAAGGAGGAGGAGGAGGAGGGCGATGATGGGCGGTAGGGCGAAGGGGATGATGAATGATGAGGGGCATTGTCGGCTCTGCAGAGTGTGAATCACAGGCTGCGTGGTGCTCGCCGAAAACGGCCACGCCCAAGGGCGACGCGGTGCCTCTTGGGTTTGTCAGTTGTTATACAATCACCGCGGTGCTCACAGGTATTGAACATCGAGGCTTCCGTGGTGCATGTAGGCGTTCCCGCGGGGCCTTCACGGGGTTCTTCTGGCCGCAGTGCCCGCGGGTGATCGCTGACAGCGCCGCTTTGGCACGCGGGCCCCCCGTCCGCCCAATTAACTCACAATACTTGTTGTTGATTTTGGTTCAAAGGTTTGATTGTTTGATTGCCGTCGCGCAACGTTGAGTCTTTGCGAGTGGATCCCGACTGCAGCGCCTGCAGCCTCGACCTTCAGGACCAGAGTCGAACAGTCTACTTCGCCATGGCCAGCGGCGCCGCGAGCGAGGCCCCGATCGGCGGCGAGCAACTCGACTCGCTGGATATGTGCGTGGACCTCCCCGACGCCCTCGACGCCCTGATGACCGACGTGGCGCCGCCGAAGGACACCTTCATGCGCCTCGGCTCCTGCAGGGGGCAGTTTAGCCGCGAGGGCAGCAACGCCGCGAGCGCTGCCCACGTGGATGAGGACGGAGGCGCGGCCGCCCAGGGGGGCGCCCCGACGGGCGGCGACGGGGCCCCACCCCTCGCCGCGGACGAGGCCGCCGAGGAAGCTCAGGGGGCACCCGCGACCGACGCTCAGGCCAAGGAGGGCTTCCAGGCGGAGTTCAAGCTGATGGGCGTCAAGATGGTCGAGATGTTGACCCATGCGCATGTCCAGCCACCGCCGCTGCCCGCTGACTTCATGGCCATGCCAGTGGACGGGCCGACTGATGGCAATGCCGATGAAGGGGCGCTTGCACATGAACCAGAGCTGAAAGGTGGCATTCTCGACGACGACGACCGCAGGACCACCCCCCTGTCCGTGTCGGCGCCGCTGTCAGCAGGGACAGCGTATTCCAAATTCTCCAGGATCAGGGGCACGGTCAACAGCTACGTTGACAAGATGACCGCCCCGACCTGGTTCAAGGACATCGTCCTCGGCACAGTTCACGCCCTCGCCAGGAGGTTGGAGAACCGAGGCGAGGCGGACATCATGAATAAGGCGCCCTACGACGTCCAGGCGGCCTACAAGCAGCCCATGGTGCGCGTGAAGGCGATGATCGAATTGCACAAGAGCATCAAAACTTGGACGGAGTCGCCAGACAATGACGCTCTCGATGCCATGCTGAAGCCGTTCGCTGTGCTACTGGGCTACCACATCACAGTCGACGGTTACATGAACGATGAGCTGAACATCATCTGCAACTATGCGATCTTCAAGGGGATAATCAAGCAGCAGGGTTCGGTCTCGGCGGCGATGAGCAAGCACGACGCACAGGCGCTCGTCCACATGGTGGCGCTGAGGGGTCGCCTCATCCAAGCTCTGCCCGAGCCGCCAGCGACCGCGGCGGCCGCGGCGACGGTGAAGACGGAGGACGGCGGGCGTGCTGCACAGGGCGCTGCGGCAGCGGAGTCGGCCGCCGCTCGGCCGACGAAGAAGCCGAGGCGCGCGAAGCGAGCCACGGAAGACGCACAGGGCAAAGTGGTCAAGGGCCAGACGCCCCTCTTTTACATGGCTACCATGGTCTCGGACGGCACCAACGCTTGGTTGAGCGACCGGGCCGCGATCAGGGACGACGGGCAGGTCTGCGTCGTCATCAGGGAGATCTGCGGGGTACAGGAGCAGTGGGCCGTGAAGGAGAAGCAGATCGAGACGTCTGTGGAGGACGATACTTTCTCCGAGGTGGGTTGTCGCTAATCTCACCCCCGCCCGCCCTCCGCATCTTCAGATATCACTCCACCTCTCCTTCTCGCCCTCGTGACCGTCGTGATCGCCATCGCCTCGTCTCACTCCTACGTCCTACGTCCATTACTGTTCTCGTCGTCCTCCTTATCCGTGTGGTCACCCTCCTTGCCTTCGCGGTCGTCGTACCCCTCTTATCCCTATCCCCTCAATGCTTATTACCGTCTCTCGCTCCTGCCCTCATTATCTTCGTCGTCGTCGTTATCGCATCGCCTCGTCGCCGCGGTCGTCGTCGCGGTCGTCGCCCTCGCGCGGGCAGAGTAGATTTGGATCCCTAGGTGCTGAAGAGCGCGGTGGCGATCGCCATGTGCGCGCACCCCATGGGGGGGCTGGGGCCTGCCACGGCCTTGGCGAGGAAGGCCAGGAGGGTGATCGCCGAGCAGGTCAAGCAGCCCAGCAGCCCCGCGTCGGAGCTTGCACGATCGACGTGCGCCTACCCAGCTCCGAAGTTGCTGATGGAAGCCAGTCGGCTGCACGCGAATCAGAGCATCGGGGACGATACGGCGACGTCCGCCTTCAAAGCCACATCGGTATCCTTCGAAAACCATTTCAGCCAGCTGTTCGACGACGCGCTGCAGTGGAAGGACACCATGCTACACAGCGTCGCCGACCACACAGACGGCGGGTTCATGGGGATCCAGCCTTTGTTCGCAGGCATGGGCCCCTTCTTCACGGGGGCTTATTCGTCGCTCCTGAAATGGCCTACAGCATCCGCACAGGAAAACGTCACTTTCTTCGTGGTCAACGTGCAGAACAGCTTTGAACTCCTCGAGATCGGTAAGTACATGATCGTGGAGATCTACTGGGCATGCGCGGGGCCCACTTGCGCGAGGATGGGAAACCTGCTGCTCGAGAGCATCTCAAAGCGGGGGGCGTCTAAGCCAGACGAAGAGGAGGCTGCGGATCAGGAACGTCTGGAGCAGACCGCTGCTGAGCTGAACACGCACGCTGCGGCGATCGATATATTCATCGATAGTTTGCCGCGTTTCTCCAATACCCTGAAGGACCTCTACGAGCGGCTCCTGAAGTGCAGGAACTTGGCCCACCAGCGCATGGGCGACATCTTCATCAGCGAGTTTGGCGAGGCGCACAAGGCTATGCACCCTATCAAATACGAGACCGAGCTTACCTACGTCGTGAACCTGTGCACCAACATGGCGACCTACCTGAAGTACTGCTTGGACCTGGCGGGGACGTTGATTCATGGCACGACTGATGCTGGGCGCGAGAAGTTCACCAAAGTCATCATAAAGTTCGCTGGCCTCCAGCGCATCGTGGACGACGAGACCTGGTCGGACTTGCTTGGGGCATTTGTCGAGACCTCCATCACCGACTCGGCCCGCGTGGAGTTGGTCCGCTCTAGCTCCGGCGACTTCAAAGACGTTGTAGGTTCTGCTGGCATCACCCCATTTTCCACGTTGGGTCTGGGTTTTTTTTCATACTGAGTGGTTTTCCGCTTTCGGTTTTGGTGTCCAGGGAGGCCGGTTTGAACTTGTACCTGTCGGTTGTTTCTGGGGCTCGGGTATCAGGATGGGGCCCAGGCTTAGGGATTTGAGGGGGGCAGGTTTAGGGATTCGGGGTGATGCCCGCGCAGGTTCGCAGGTCTATATTGTCTGCTCCGACAGCTTCGCGGCAGCTCGCATGGCTGACATCGCTCCGACCCTGAACATAACCATCGGCATTGTGAGCGAGCAGGCGATCGCGGAGGGCCAAGGTGGCGCAGCGTTCGATGGGTTGGTCTTGGCGCCCGGGCCCCTGGAGGGCCTCTTCCCTCTCGGAGTGAGCTTTGAGGACGGCGGCGAGAAGGATGAAAAGGCTGCTCAGACTTCCAAGCACTACATGTCCCTCTCAGACTTGGTCTCTTTCCTGGAGGTGAGTGGCGTCGCATCCATCAGCGTCCCTGGTGTGGCAACGACGGTGGCAATCGGCTGCCAACGGATAGTGCCATCGCCTACCTGAAGATGGTAACTAACGTCAGGGACCTCGCCTCCGTCGCAGCGGTGGCGCACAGCAACGCGTTCGTGGAGTTCAAGGACGCTGCGAAGCTGAAGGACACTGAGATCGTGGAGTTGTTCGGCAGCGCCGTGCACGCCCAGGGCATGTTGGCGAAGGCGCTGGTCAGGATTGACGGCATGATGATTTCGGGTGAGGTACATAATCTCGAATACCAGGGCTGCACAAGCCCCGTTTCCATCCAATCCGCGAGGCACTGGGCGAAGTCAATGTCTGTGTTGTCAGGTTTCTGCAGGGCCCAGCTACTGGCGCTGATGGCGGAGGTCGTCATGGTCGACACAAACAGCACTCAGAAGATCTTGGCCGACTGGGGCGCCGTCGTGGACCAGCAGTCGGGCGAGCTCAACGAGAAGTTGGCGGTCAAGCAGTTCAACAACTTGGATCAGATCGTTGTTGCGTACAATCGTACTCACAAGCACTTGAGTTGGCTTTCGAGGGCGGGCGCGATGCTGCAGCTGGTTCCGACAGTCCAGCACCACGAGATCACGTCGGAGACCGTCGCCGTGACCATGGCGTGCTTGGCCACGGGTTTTCAATGGGTTCGCTGGGCCGCATCGCGGCTGGCATGTCAGTCGGGCACTCCCCACTTGATTAACATAGCGGATCCTTCCCGTCCCTCTCATTGCCCTCCTAATCCTCATTTTCCCCACTGGAGTGCTCCGACCGACTGCCCATCCAGACGCGCCTCCCACGCATTCATTGAGTAGCCCTGCAGGGGAGGACGAAGCAGGTGATCACCATGACCAAGGGCATCAAGATGCTGAATGCCCTGCGCCAGGACCCTTGCGGGCCCGAGCGCGCCAAGAACTTCGTGACGGAGAACAAGGGGAATAGCCCTGCCATCCCCAAGGGGTTCTGGGGCGAGCTGGACCCATCGCAGCCGAGAGCAGGTGCGCCGAGGAGAGCGCCTCGGTGAAGGGCAGGTCCGCGGCTGGCAGCGCCAAGTGCGGCTCCGTGCAGCAGGCGCCGCCGCCCAAGGGTGGCGCCGCGACGGGGGAGTGGCCTTCGGTTACCAAGGCCAAGCAGGAGCAGACGGTCGGGACGGGCGCCGCCGCTGGCGCGTCTGAGGGGGGCAGCAGCGGCCCCGCAGCAGCAGGGCAGCCGCCCCGCCCAGCCGCCAAGGGAAGGGGCCTGAAGCGCACGAAGATGGAGCAGTAGACACTTTCTGCCAGAAGTAACTTTGGGGCGGGGGAAGGGCTCGATCACATAGCACAGCAGGTAAGTTAAGTTTAGGATGGGTGCGGCGGGGGTCAGCGGGGGGGGCGACTATGATGAAGAGGGGGGGCCGTCGTGCACGATGCGCCCTGCTCGACCGGGCCAGACGGCGCGACCAGGGGCGATGTCAGCATGTTCCTCGGGTGGTCCTCCGAGTGGATTGTTCAGGACTCGTTGCGTCGCGCGCGCGGTGGGAAAAGTTGCTCCTGTTTCTAGGCCCTCGGGTTTTCGAGCAAAGGGATTGCTTGCGACGGGGTGCCTCGCTCGTTGATTGCCGCCTGTGGCCGCCACATCTGGGCCCGATGCCCTGCCAGCCCCGACGGGCACGGCGCGTCGCTGCGTAGCACGGCGGGCGCTGCGCAGAGGGGCGCAGCGTCGATGGAGGTGGCTTGAGCGAGGCGGGGATCGCACGCTAGGAAAGAGTGAAAATGAGCATGTGGAGTTAGATGCGTCGTGTTGTCGTTGGCTGGTCGACGCTGCCTCCCGCGATGGCTGCATGATTGAGGTTCGCTGCCACTGCGAGGGCCCCTCGTGCGGGACATGCGCGGCAGGGCACGCGCTCCCACCCGTGCTCGTCCACCCTAGCTGAGCGGAGGGACGCGGCGAGGCGGAGGCGTCGGCGGCCACGGATGGCCGTGGTCATTTGCGCGGTTGATGCCCATGGCCTTCGCCCTTCCCCATCCTCTCCCTCTCCCTCATCGGTTTCGGAGCCTCTTGAATCCAGCTCTGTCCTCCCTCCCTTCTCCACCCTCCAGTTTCTCCGCCCCGATCCCTCGCTCCCCCCCCCCCCCCTCCCCCTCGCACCTCCGCCCATCTTCCGAGCCGCTTTTTGGGCGGAGGCTCGGCGCGGCTATGCAGCGTCGCCGCGGTCTTTGGCTTCTGGGGGGGGGGCCGTGTCCACGATGCCGTGTCGCGAACCCTTCGCGCGTCGTTGCGTCGGCCGTGCTGCCGCTGGGGAGGTGGAGGGGGTGCGCGTGCCACGGGAACAACATGACACATTGGCCGCGCAGGAGGGGTGGCATCCACAGGTTTCGGCACGCACACACACACACACACACACACACACACACACACACACACACACACACACACACACACACACACACCGTGAGGATTGCCAACAGGGAGCTCCGCCTCAGGCACCATAGCGCCCAACCAATTTTTCACAAACCACTGGTCCGTAGCCAGTCGCAGGCTCAATTCACGTTGACCGTCTTGAAGCTGTCCTTTCCACTGCTCGTGCAAACATCCCACCCTCCCACCCGCAATTTGGTCGCAAGACCTCAAAAGACAAGACCGTGACGGTAGGTACAACATGGCACTTGGCCACGACACCGACGACGACAGCGACAACGACGACGACGGCGCTGCCGACACCGACTACGACGACACCGACGACGTCACCAACGATTTCGACGACGACAACGACGACGACGACACCGACGACGACGACGCCGACGACGACGACGATGACGACGACGACGACGCCGACGACGACGCCGTCGGCGACGACGACGAAGACAACGACGACGACGACGACAGCGACGTCGCCAACGAAGACGACGACGAGGGAGGAGGGAAGACGGCGACGGCGACAACGACGACAACCATGAGGGAGGAGGGAGGACGGCGACGACGCGAACGACGAAGAAGGAGGAAGGACGGCGACGACGACGACGACAACGACGAGGGAGGACGGAAGACGACGACGACAACGACGACGACGACGGCGACGAAATAGGAGGGACGACGACGAGACGCCGCCGACGGCGGACGACGACGACGACGAGGGACGAGGAGGAAGGACGACCACAGCGACAACGACGACGGAAACGACCACGACGCCAAAGAGGACGGCGACGACGAACACGAGGAAGGACAGAGGACGACGTAGGCGACGACGGCGACGGCGTGGGAGGAGGGAGGACGGCGACGACGACGACGACGACGCAAGAGCGCGCGCGAACGCTTTTGTTGAAAATCCGTGTTGCGAAACCTGGTGTTTTTGTAAGTTTTTTGGAAAGGTGATTTTGAAAGACTTGGGTGTTGAAGGACTTCGTCATACGCGCGCGACGACGACATACGAAGGGCGGCGACGACGATAATGCTGGGGCCCAGTGCAGCAATAAAGCTTTCCAGTGAGCCCTCCACCTCATGCCCCCCTCGTCCGCACGGGTGTGATAAGTAGGAGTTGCGCCGTAGTGTCTATCATAGGTGTAGTGCATACTCAGTTCGCACGCGTGCAATAGTGTAGGATTGTTAGTACTCGGCCGAAGCATGGCCTCATAGTTTGCTCCGCTATCAATCGTAAGTTTGATCTTGACCAGAAT